ATACCACCTTTCTTCTTCCCCGCCCTTATCCCTCCCTACCCTCCCATTCTCCCCAGTCCCTTTCCCTTTGGTAACTGTTAGTCCCTTCTTGGGTTCTGTGATTCTGCTGCTGTTTTGTTCCTTCAGTTTTTCTTTGTTCTTATACTCCACATATGAGTGAAATCATTTGGTATTTGTCTTTCTCCGCTTGGCTTATTTCACTGAGCATAATACCCTCTAGCTCCATCCATGTTGTTGCAGATTATAGGATTTGTTTTCTTCTTATGTCAGCCTTCTCTTTTATTACTGTGGATGAACTGTCATTATTTTACAAATTGCTCACAGTTGTCTTTCACTTTGCAGTGTCCCATCCCCTCTTGAAGGACCCATTTTAGCATTAGTTCTCTCTGCCCTGCATTCTTTTTGCTGGATCACTAATACCAGCATGCACACTTGAACCCACATTCTAGCTGTCACCTCATTTTCTCTGGTTCTCATTATCCTTGGACATAAAACTCTTCTCCTTAATTAAATCTACTCTATTTAGGCTTTTGTTTCCATCACTACAGCAGAACAGCTTTCATCACACTGGCCAGTGTCTTCATATTGTCATCCAATGATGAGTTTCCCGTTTTCATCTTGCATGGCCTGTCAGCATCAGTTGGCACAACTGACCATTCCCTTCCTGATACACTTTCTCACTTGTCCACATGACACCCTCAGTGCTCTTCCACCTCCCTGGCCTCTCCTTTCTGGTTTTTGCTGCCCTGATCTCTAAACCTTGGACTGGCCAGGGCTTAGTCTTCAGGTCTTTTTTCTATTGCCCCTGCCCTGTGATTTCATCCATTAAGTACCATCAGTATGCTGGCAACCTTTAAATGTAAATCCCCAACCCAGACCTCTCCCCCACACTCCCAACGTTGTACTTGACATCTCGGTTTGACTGTCTAATAATACCTCAAACCAACATATCCAAATTGAGACTAATTTTCTCCCCAAATGTCTTTTTTCTTCTTAATAAATGGCCACTCTGTTTTCCCATTATAATCAAACCAAATTCTTGGAATCATCTCTAATTCCTCTACTGAGCTCACTTCCCTGATCCAGGGCATTAACAAATCCTGTTGCATCCACCTGCAGAGTATCCTCAGAATCTCATATTTCTCATCACTTTCTCCTACTACCACCCTGGTACAAGTAGCCTTTATTTCTGACCTGATTATCCCAATAGCGTCTCACTGAGCTCCTTGCTTTTATAGTCTATCTTCAGTTTAATAGCTACAGTGATCCTTTAAGAGCATAACTCAGATCTCAATTTGTTAAAACCCTGCAGTAGATTTGTTCAGAGTAAAATCCATTGTTCTTACAGTGGTTTTCAAGGCCTCATCACTCCCCTTTTGCGTCCTTCATTCCAGCCACGTGGGCGTGTCGCTCCTCCGTGAGTACTCCTCACTGCTGCTGCAGGTCCCTGCGTTTGTGCTCTGCTGTCTCCAGTGTGCTTCCCCCAGAGAGCCATGTGGCTTGTTCTCTTCCTGTAATTCTCTGCTCAAATGTCATTTGATTAGAGAGGCTTTCCTTGACTAACTGTACATAAAAAATAGTTTACCATCACACCCATCCACTTACCCTGTCCCCTTCTCCCTACTTGTCACCACTTGACATAATACATGCTTTGTTCATTATCTGTGTTTCACCACTGGAATGGAAACTCCATGGGGCAGGATCTGTATTTGCTGTTATTCACTGTAGTATCCCAACGCCTGAAAAGTACCTGCAAATAGTAGACAATTACTGTTTGTTGAATGAATTAATGGTTCCAATTGAAATAGCTGTGTGATGTGATTCAGAATGAATGTCCATTGTTTCCACTTCAGGAAGATACCAGCAGTGCATTTTTCCTTTCTATTGGTGTTTAGATCTCTTCGTTTTTGATATTGCAAATTCAGTTGTGTACCTCCTAAGTTCCATCTAGTTTTGGAGAACATTCTGTTGTCTTATTTTACATCATCAGAAGCTTGTCTAGAAAAGACTTTTATTTTCGTCGCTTGATCTTGTTTTTTTAATATACAGAGAGCATTTGGTGGTACTTAGTCTTCTGTAATAATTGGTTGTAACCCAGGGGGCTGCTGACCAAAGAGATGAGTACTACCGCCAGCTGGCAGTAAGACTGGTCCTAAGACTATTAAAGCTCGTATAGGTGTATTAGTAGCCACACTGTCGTCTGCTCCCCCTGCCTTCTTATCCTGCCTACACTTTTCAGGACGTATGTTGCCACTTTTAAACTTGGCAGCAACTCTGGATGTTCAGTTTGATATTACTTATTAAAAGTCAAGCAAAGGTGGCCTCATAGTTACTGGATCTGAGCCTGTGCAGTTTCCTACCTTGATTCTGATTTCCTACTACAGAAGTAGAAAAAAGCAGGTTTTATTTTCACCTAAAAGGTGAAAAGTTCTATATATCATGACTAGATATTAGGAAAAAATGGTATACAGAATACATCATAAGAAATGACTTTTTTCTTTTAGTAGTTTTCATTTTCAATTCAAATATTAATTGAACATGCACTGTCTGCTTATAACTGGAGTAATAAAAAGATAGTAAGGTAGACCTCTTCTGCCAGAAACTTGTATAATCTCATAACAACCACAAACTTGTCTTTAGGATGTTCCAGTGGAATGCTTCTTTGTGAAATGCAATGGATCACTCATTAACACCAACGACATGGTGCAGCATGGAGCAGTTTATAGTCTGGAACCCAGACTTTGTGGAGGAAAAGGAGGTACAATATGAATGTTGACTGCTTAGTGGTAACACGGTTGCACTGTTTAGCCAATGTATTAAATTAACAAACTCCTTGGTCTCTGTAGTATGCCAGCCCTGTTTTGCCTTATGAAATCCTTTATTTACTTTACCTAATTTTGAAGATTAAAGTCTTTTTGAGGAAGATACTGTCTGATACAATTCCCACCTTCTCCAGCCAGATAGTTCTTGGGCAACCTCAGCGCTAAAACTTTGGGGGAGGATTAGGTGAAGAGAGATGATCATTATTCTGTCCAGTTTGCTGAAGAAAGAGTACAAGCAGATCTCCTCCTGCTTTTATCAGGATTTTTTTTTTGGTATCATTAATATACAATTACATGATCAACATGGTCACTAGACTCCCCCAATATCAAGTCTCCTGGTACGACATACCCCATTACAGTCGCTGTCCATCAGTGTAGTAAGATGCCATAAAATCACTTCTTGTCTTCTCTGTGTTATACTGCCTACCCTGTGCCCCCACCCCGCTACACTATGTGTGCTAATCATAATGCCCCTTTTTCCCCTTATTCATCCCTTCCCACCCATCCTCCCCAGTCCCTTTCCCTTTGGTAACTGTCAGTCCATTCTTGGGTTCTGTGAGTCTGCTGCTGTTTTGTTCTTCAGTTTTTTCTTTGTTCTTATACTCCACAGATGAGTGAAATCATTTGGTACTTGTCTTTCTCCACCTGGCTTATTTCACTGAGTACAATACCCTCTAGCTCCATCCATGTTGTTGCAAATGGTAGGATTTGTTTTCTTATGGCTGAATCATATTCCATTGTGTATCTGTACCACATCTTCTTTATCCATTCATCTACTGATGGACACTTAGGTTGCTTCCATTTCTTGGCTATTGTAAATAGTGCTGCAATAAACATAGGGGTGCATCTGTCTTTTTGAAACTGGGCTCCTGCATTCTTAGGGTAAATTTTTAAGAGTGGAATTCCTGGATCAAATGGTATTTCTATTTTTAGTTTTTTGAGGAACCTCCATACTGTTTTCTACAAAGGTTGAAGTAATTTACATTCCCACCAGCAGCGTAAGAGGGTTCCTGCTTTTATCAAGATTTTGTCTAGTTATTGTGGCTCCAAAGGAGGTCTAAAGTCACCTACAAAATACAAAATAAAGTCACCTACAAAAAAGCTGTTAAATAGTGGTCATACACATTACAGATTTGGGTAGATAAAGGTTCTGGTTTTACTAACATCTAAGAAGAAAGAAAAAGAACTAAAAAAGCAAGACCTGCATATAAGCAATTCTTGGTAGTTCTGAGGCACTAACACGTAATACCTAAGCTTTCTCAAAATCTACAGTGATTTGGCTTGGTTTTCAGAGAGCTGACATCTCCCATAAGCATCCTGATGTTTGAAATCATGTCAGTAAGAATGAAGCTCATCATAACAGCCAGTGACAGCGTAAAATTACCTTTCCTTTTAAACTTACTGCAAAATCTCAGCGTATAACTTTTTAAAATTAAGGTATCATTGATACACAATCTTAACGAAGGTTTCCAGAGCAATATTGTGGTTACTACATTCACCCATATTATCAAGTCCCCTCCACACTCCATTGCAGTCACTGTCCATCAGCATAGTAAGATGCTGTAGAGTCACTACTTGTCTTCTCTGAGCTATACTGCCTTCCCTGTGATCCCCCTATACTATGTGTGCTATCATAATGCCCTTTAATCCCCTCCTCCCTCCCTCCCCACCCCTTTCCCGTTGGTAACCTCTAGTCCCTTCTTGAAATCTGTGAGTCTGCTGCTATTTTGTTCCTTTAGTTTTTGCTTTATTGTTCATACTCCACAGATGAGTGAAATCATTTCGTACTTGTCTTTCTCTGCCTGGCTTATTTCACTGAGCATAATACCTTCTAACTCCATCTATGTTGTTCAGCTTATAATTTTTTTTATTAAGATATCATTGATATAACTCTTATGAAGGCTTCACAAGAAAAACAATGTGGTTATTACATTCACCCTTATCATCAAGTCCTCCCATACCCCATTGCATTCACTGTCCATCAGTGTAGTAATATGCCAGAGAGCCCCTACTTGTCTTCTCTGTGCTACATTGTCTTCTCCATGACCCCACACACACCATGTGCACTTACCACAGCATATAATTTTTTAAATTATTAATCTGGTACTCTTAGGATCTCTGGCCCTGGGTTAAAGCCCTCTAAGATACCCAATGTTGTAGGTACAGCATTTCAGAAATATGAAAGGAGCAGGTGAAAGGCAGCATGACGTTTGAATCAAGTTTATCACTACTTTCACCATTCTGCCTGGGTTAGAATCTTGATATCATATCCTTAAAAAAAAAACAGAAGAAAGAAAGCAGATCATCTAATTTTGTGATGCACTGTTTCCACAAATTCAGCATTTATCGTCCTTGTGCACTTCTCAACCTGCTTTCTCCAAACATATTTGCTCAGGTTTTGGATCTATGCTTCGAGCACTGGGTGCCCAGATTGAGAAGACAACCAATCGGGAAGCTTGCAGGGACCTCAGTGGAAGGAGACTACGAGATGTCAATCATGAAAAAGCGTAAGAGGCCCACTGTTTTTTTTTTTTGATGAGAGAAAACATTCTTTCCTGTCAATAGTGGTCATACACATGCCATGCATATCAGGTATGTAAGTATGTAACTTGAAATACATGTGTTCTGATGGATTGGAATCAGATTCAACCTTTTCTGTAATCTAATCACGTGGGTGGTAGTCAGGCCCAGTGCAGTAGGTCATGGTAAGCACGGTGCCCTCTGCGGCAGTATCACATTGTGCACTGAGTTGTTGCAAGGGGCTTTGTACTGAGAAGCTATGTGTAATGTGTCCATTCTGGCACATCGCCTTCTGTCACCCTCAGAATGGCTGAATGGGTGAGACAGCAGGCTGAGCGAGAGGCTGGGAAGGAGCAGAAGCGCCTGGAGCGCCTGGAGCGACAGCTGGCAGGGCCTGGGCACTGCCTCACCAGCCCTGGCTACCAGCAACAGTGCCATGAGATGGCAGAGCGCCTGGAGGATTCTGTCCTCAAAGGTGAGGAGGGTTCTATAGTGTTGCCCGCAGGCGCCCTGAAGCGGACTTCTCCACACTGCCTCACAGTATGCACAAAAAGCAGGGCTTATGCCTTCTTGGGTACAGACCTCTGGAAATCTGATGAAACCTCTATGGGTCTCTCCCCTCAGTAATGAACACAGGATGTCTAGCAACCCACAAAAGCACACATACTCACACAGTCTCGGCATATGGCCCCCTGAATTCTGTGGGCCAATGGGCCACAGGTAAGAATGTTTTCTGTGCTTTGTGGGGATAAGCTGAGTCTTCAGGGGCTGTCTAGTAGACTTCAGTGTATTTGCTTCCAGCTTTAGTCAGATTTTTTTTTAGTGGTTTTTAATGAGAATAATTGTCACTTACTTTTATATTTTTTTGTATCCAAAGCATTATGCTAGGGCTGTTATGGGTTCAACTGAATAAGAAGGAATCTTTTCCATCAAATAGGTTATGACATTACAGGGGTAAGACAGATATATGCACATAATGTGCACAAGGGGATGAATCATGAGGTTTGGAGAGGGCCAGGTATCTCCTGTCAGCCTAAAAGTTACACATTGGATATTGGTGTTGTAAAAACTTGGTTCTGGAGTCAGATGCTTGTTATTTCAAATCTGTGTAAATTTGAGATTAGTTTCATTTTAACCATACTAAATTTTAGTATAAGATATTTAAATCTGGAGCTTTAGATTGCAGCTCCTTTTGCAATTTAGATTATTTATTTCTTTAATCACACTTAATCTTGATAGTAGAAACTGAGCTGTTAAAATTTCTGGCTAGGTATGCAGGCTACCTCCAGCAAGATGGTATCGGCAGAAATCAGTGAGAATCGTAAACGGCCTAACAAATCAATAACAGACAAAGGAGCCAGAGCAGAGAAAAGGAAATGCTTTTGGTGAGTACATTTCATTTTTTTCCAGGTTGGACCGTGAGGGCTGACATGATAGATGTCCTTCTTGTCTATCGGTATAAACACATTTCTGAGTAATTTTTGATGGGAGCTCAGAAATTCCCTAGAGCACTTCAGTCCAGGTTTCTGTGGTTGCCGCATTGTGCACACCTGCAGTGACTTCTGTTGTGAGGGGCATAATAATCAAAAGGACAGTTGTTTGCTCTAGAGTGAAAGATCACGTAAAAATAGCTTTATACTCAAGTTTCTATGTGGTGTTGAAAGAGTTAACTTGCAAACATTCCGGGCAGAAGCTGCAGCTGTACTTTCTAGGTTGTTCTGTCTTCTCTGTGGTTTGTCACAGTTGTCCCTAAGGCCTTTGACCACTTTTTAGCCCTGGCTTCACCTCTTGCGCACATGTGGACAAAAGCACAGCAGTACTTTGTCTTACCCTTTCTTCTGATCGCTCCCCCGCCCTTCCCAGATGGACCTCTGGTTACCAGTGCAGTTCCCTTGGGTCAAGTTCTAGAAAATGGAATTATTACTGTATCTAATTTCCAACAGTTAAAATTCATACATTCTAGGAAAACTTTAAGCAAAATCAATTTTGTTTTAAAAGATTCACAACTTTAAAAAGATCCTCTTGGATCTTTGGGATGGTTGATTCCAGTCTCACTGAATATTTTTTTCCTTCTGTTTATACCTCTGGAATATTTTTTTCTCAAACTTACCTACTCTCCATCTTAAGCTAGCACATACTTCTATTCAGACAGCTTCTGTTCCCTGGACAAACTGTACCTTTTTTAAAAAATTGAAATATAGTTGATATACAGTCTTATAGTGGTTCAAGGATACAGCACAGTGGTTCAGCAGTTACCCATATTATTAAATCCTCACCCCCTGTAGTGCAGTTACTGTCAACACAGGAAGATGTTACAGAATCATTGACTATATTCTCCATGCTGTACAGCCATCCCTTTGACCATCTTATATTGTGATTGACAATTTTTGTGCCCTTTTATCCCCTCTCCCTTAGTAACCACCAGTCATTTTTCAGTGTCTATGAGTCTCTATATTTTGTTCATTTTGTTTTTTATATTTTACAAATAAGTGAAATCATATGGTATTTGTCTTTCTCCGCCTGGCTTATTTCACTTAGCATAATACCTCTAAGTCCATCCATGTTGTTGCAAATGACAGGATTTTGTTCTTTTTTATGGCTGCATAATATTCCATTGTATATATATATCACATCTTTATCCATTCATCTGTTGATGGCACTTTGGTTGCTTCCATATCTTGGCTATTGTAAATAATATGACAATAAACATAAGACCACATATATCTTTGAATCAGGGATTTTGTTTTCTTCAGGTGAATTCCAAGAAGTGGAATTACCGGGTCATTTATTATCTCTGTTTTTAGTTTTTGAGGAGCGTCTGTACTGTTTTCCACAGTGGCTGTACCAATTTACATTCCCACCAACAGTGCACGAGGGTTCACTTTTCTCCACATGTTGTGGAGAAACACTTGTTATTCCTTGTCTTTTGGATAGTGGCCATTGTAAGTCATGTGAGGTAGTACCTCATTGTGGTTTTAATTTGCATTTCTCTGATGGTTAGCAGTGTGGAGCATCTTTTCATGTGTCTGTTGGCCCATCTGTGTTTCTTTGGGAAAATGTTCAGGTCTTCTGCCCATTTTTTAACTGGGTTATTTGCTCTTTTGGTATTGAATCGTATGAGTTCTTTATTTTGGATGTGAACCACTTATGGATAAATTGTTTAAAATATATTCTTTCATACTGTAGATTACCTTTTTGTTCTCTTGGTGGTGTCCTTTGCTGTCCAGAAGCTTTTTAGTTTGGTGTAGCCACTGTACCTCTTTTTTAAGTAGAAACTGTAAATAGTGTAAACCTTTCCGTTGCTTCTGATAGGTTGGGTTTGGAAGGACTAGAGACTGCAGAGGGGTCCAGCACCGAGAGCTCGGATGATGACAGTGATGAAGCACCTAGTACTTCAGGAATGAGGTTCCATGGTCCAAAAACTGGCAGTGACAGTGTTGAGATGGCATTCAAACTTCCCAGTAGTTCTCAGAAGGCAGTAGTATGGAGTACAGACTCTAGATCACTAGAAGAACTACGGACCCCAGAGGCTGACCCTGGGAACAGTATTTCAGAAGATTTGTGTGCTGAGCTGGGAGAGACATCGGCCAGGGACATCGTGGAAAGGAAGATGGCTCTAGAAACACAGAAAACCCAGGAGGAGGAGGAGGCAGAGAGGAAAGAACCCATAGAAAAGGAAGTAGCTGGGACAGGACTGAATAAGGAGCAAGAAACAAAAGAAATGACTAATGGAGAAAGAGCTGCCAAGGTAGCACCTGGAGAAGGTGGGGAAAACACTCCTGTTGCCAAACTGGAGGAAAGCCAATCAGGAAACACAGTAAGTAATTTTGGGGGGTTGATGTCTAGGATCAACTCAGCTTAATCTCATTAAAATCATTAAAATGAAAATCATTTTAATCATTAAAATGAAAATGTGCTTATTACCATCTTCTGCTTAGTGGAAAGACTTATTTAATAATCATAAGTACAGGTAATGGTGAAACTTGCCTTGCCGTCCCCCCTGCCAAAATCCTTCGTTTTTTTTTTTCTTTTTTTTTGTGGGATTTTTTCCCCCACTCTGGAATTTATTTTATTTTGCCACCAGGTGGTGTCCTTGGTTCCATATTACATCAGTTCTAAGATGCATGTTTATCACATTTTAATATCTCTGTATTTGGATGTATATCACATATGGCTTAATTGATATTCTTTCTTAATAGCATATACAGTAATAAGGCATATTATAAATGGCATTTTTTATTTCATGAAATGTTCTCATTTTCCTATCACTAGATCTCTACTCAGTTTTTCTCTCTCATGTGAGATACTGTTTGAATAATTGTTGTTAGCTGTATATAAAGACATTTCTGTAGAAAAGACCAACTCCTTTTAATAATCAAATCTAAGTCCTGTATTTCAGCCTCTGAGAGTTTTTCCTTGAGCATACGTTTCCTTAAGTACTTGATTATACCCTGTTTTCAGTGGAATACCTTCCAGTAGAGACATCATTAATGTTTACTTTTTGATCTAATCATTTGCTTTCTACCATAGATGAAACCTGAACATCTTGGTTTCCTTTGATACACACAAAGCCTGTCATGGTCTGTTTACCCAGTACCTTCCTTATACCAGTAAATAAGCAGCACTGTGGAGGCTGCCCTTTCTGGGGAAGATAGCAGAAAGTGTTATGCTAAGGGCTTTACATAGACCCTCACACTGTGTCTGGAGTTACAAACTTGTAACTTTTATGTTACACTTATATATTAGGGGCTTTATCCTGACTAAAGTCATGGAAAAATGAACAAAGGATCTTTTATGAATAAGTATTGAGTGACTAAATCCTGATTTGACTTTCCATCTTTGAATCTCTTAGCTGTGGAGATTTTGTTCTTGATGTTCTGGCAGTAGCTATTATATTTATTAACAACCATGTGCAGTTCTCCAAAGTGGTGTCCTGGAACTTGGCCATGAATAATGAAGCCAAGGTTTACTCCAGAAATCTAACAGAATGGCTTTTTTTGTTTTAACTAAGATAAACTAGAAAGATATAGTCTGTCCCTAGAGCTGTTTAATATTTTTTTAAAATAACTTACTGTGAGAGAAAATTATTGAATATACATTTTTTAAAAACCCTAGGTGTTGACACTTTTATTCTTTGCAGAACATCCATCCTTAGAAGTATTTAATTTTGTCTTACAGTCTGTGAAGTCTAGTTGGTGGAGAGAAGAGTTGCAAGTCTATTGAATAGCATTTGAATCTGTTGAATTATAAACACGGGAACTCTTATTAAAAGTCTTAACTAGAAAGCATTAAGATTATGGAATTAAAAGATTCACAGGAATGGGAATCTCATTAAAAATTGAGCTTTGGACAACCCCGCGCATTCCACATCCTTGGGACCCTGTGGGGCGGGTGCAGGTCTAGGCTGGGCATGGAGGAGCCTCCCAGACTGGGCAGGTGCAGTGTCCGGGGTCATTTGACTCCACTGTCTCTTGGCCCTGCTGCCTTCATGCCTGGCTGGGGCAGCCATGGAACGCTGGAGCGCGGGGATTGTGTTTGACCAATGGGGCTGAGGCTGTGTCCACTGAGGCTAAGATGACTGCCTTTCCTGATTGGCCTTGACTTTTCCATACATTGTGTGACCCCTGCCCTATGACCCTTTGGCTGACCTTACTGGAAGCCATGATGACAGCAGCCTTTTGCCATCGGACACAGGGTGATGGTGAGGATTCCAAAGGTCAGACAAAACTGGTTAATCTGAACTAGGTGACTGTTACCTTGCATGTTTTGTGGCCAAACCACTACCAAAAAACCTCACACTGTGATATGGTGGAGGTGGTACAGCAGTCGGAGAACCTCAGGCAGAGACAAATATGGACAACCTGTTCATACAGAGTTCTGGCTTATTGTAGAAAATCTTTCTAGTCGTTGTAGTTGGCAAGATTTAAAGGATTTCATGAGACAAGCAGGTGAAGTAATCTATGCGGATGCTCCTCACAAAGAACGCACAAACGAAGGTGTGATTGAATTTCGCTCCTACTCTGACATGAAGCACGCTTTGAATAAACTGGATGAGCAAGGGGCTTTGTACTGAGAAGCTATGTGTAATGTGTCCATTCTGGCACATCGCCTTCTGTCACCCTCAGAATGGCTGAATGGGTGAGACAGCAGGCTGAGCGAGAGGCTGGGAAGGAGCAGAAGCGCCTGGAGCGCCTGGAGCGACAGCTGGCAGGGCCTGGGCACTGCCTCACCAGTCCTGGCTACCAGCAACAGTGCCATGAGATGGCAGAGCGCCTGGAGGATTCTGTCCTCAAAGGTGAGGAGGGTTCTATAGTGTTGCCCGCAGGCGCCCTGAAGCGGACTTCTCCACACTGCCTCACAGTATGCACAAAAAGCAGGGCTTATGCCTTCTTGGGTACAGACCTCTGGAAATCTGATGAAACCTCTATGGGTCTCTCCCCTCAGTAATGAACACAGGATGTCTAGCAACCCACAAAAGCACACATACTCACACAGTCTCGGCATATGGCCCCCTGAATTCTGTGGGCCAATGGGCCACAGGTAAGAATGTTTTCTGTGCTTTGTGGGGATAAGCTGAGTCTTCAGGGGCTGTCTAGTAGACTTCAGTGTATTTGCTTCCAGCTTTAGTCAGATTTTTTTTTAGTGGTTTTTAATGAGAATAATTGTCACTTACTTTTATATTTTTTTGTATCCAAAGCATTATGCTAGGGCTGTTATGGGTTCAACTGAATAAGAAGGAATCTTTTCCATCAAATAGGTTATGACATTACAGGGGTAAGACAGATATATGCACATAATGTGCACAAGGGGATGAATCATGAGGTTTGGAGAGGGCCAGGTATCTCCTGTCAGCCTAAAAGTTACACATTGGATATTGGTGTTGTAAAAACTTGGTTCTGGAGTCAGATGCTTGTTATTTCAAATCTGTGTAAATTTGAGATTAGTTTCATTTTAACCATACTAAATTTTAGTATAAGATATTTAAATCTGGAGCTTTAGATTGCAGCTCCTTTTGCAATTTAGATTATTTATTTCTTTAATCACACTTAATCTTGATAGTAGAAACTGAGCTGTTAAAATTTCTGGCTAGGTATGCAGGCTACCTCCAGCAAGATGGTATCGGCAGAAATCAGTGAGAATCGTAAACGGCCTAACAAATCAATAACAGACAAAGGAGCCAGAGCAGAGAAAAGGAAATGCTTTTGGTGAGTACATTTCATTTTTTTCCAGGTTGGACCGTGAGGGCTGACATGATAGATGTCCTTCTTGTCTATCGGTATAAACACATTTCTGAGTAATTTTTGATGGGAGCTCAGAAATTCCCTAGAGCACTTCAGTCCAGGTTTCTGTGGTTGCCGCATTGTGCACACCTGCAGTGACTTCTGTTGTGAGGGGCATAATAATCAAAAGGACAGTTGTTTGCTCTAGAGTGAAAGATCACGTAAAAATAGCTTTATACTCAAGTTTCTATGTGGTGTTGAAAGAGTTAACTTGCAAACATTCCGGGCAGAAGCTGCAGCTGTACTTTCTAGGTTGTTCTGTCTTCTCTGTGGTTTGTCACAGTTGTCCCTAAGGCCTTTGACCACTTTTTAGCCCTGGCTTCACCTCTTGCGCACATGTGGACAAAAGCACAGCAGTACTTTGTCTTACCCTTTCTTCTGATCGCTCCCCCGCCCTTCCCAGATGGACCTCTGGTTACCAGTGCAGTTCCCTTGGGTCAAGTTCTAGAAAATGGAATTATTACTGTATCTAATTTCCAACAGTTAAAATTCATACATTCTAGGAAAACTTTAAGCAAAATCAATTTTGTTTTAAAAGATTCACAACTTTAAAAAGATCCTCTTGGATCTTTGGGATGGTTGATTCCAGTCTCACTGAATATTTTTTTCCTTCTGTTTATACCTCTGGAATATTTTTTTCTCAAACTTACCTACTCTCCATCTTAAGCTAGCACATACTTCTATTCAGACAGCTTCTGTTCCCTGGACAAACTGTACCTTTTTTAAAAAATTGAAATATAGTTGATATACAGTCTTATAGTGGTTCAAGGATACAGCACAGTGGTTCAGCAGTTACCCATATTATTAAATCCTCACCCCCTGTAGTGCAGTTACTGTCAACACAGGAAGATGTTACAGAATCATTGACTATATTCTCCATGCTGTACAGCCATCCCTTTGACCATCTTATATTGTGATTGACAATTTTTGTGCCCTTTTATCCCCTCTCCCTTAGTAACCACCAGTCATTTTTCAGTGTCTATGAGTCTCTATATTTTGTTCATTTTGTTTTTTATATTTTACAAATAAGTGAAATCATATGGTATTTGTCTTTCTCCGCCTGGCTTATTTCACTTAGCATAATACCTCTAAGTCCATCCATGTTGTTGCAAATGACAGGATTTTGTTCTTTTTTATGGCTGCATAATATTCCATTGTATATATATATCACATCTTTATCCATTCATCTGTTGATGGCACTTTGGTTGCTTCCATATCTTGGCTATTGTAAATAATATGACAATAAACATAAGACCACATATATCTTTGAATCAGGGATTTTGTTTTCTTCAGGTGAATTCCAAGAAGTGGAATTACCGGGTCATTTATTATCTCTGTTTTTAGTTTTTGAGGAGCGTCTGTACTGTTTTCCACAGTGGCTGTACCAATTTACATTCCCACCAACAGTGCACGAGGGTTCACTTTTCTCCACATGTTGTGGAGAAACACTTGTTATTCCTTGTCTTTTGGATAGTGGCCATTGTAAGTCATGTGAGGTAGTACCTCATTGTGGTTTTAATTTGCATTTCTCTGATGGTTAGCAGTGTGGAGCATCTTTTCATGTGTCTGTTGGCCCATCTGTGTTTCTTTGGGAAAATGTTCAGGTCTTCTGCCCATTTTTTAACTGGGTTATTTGCTCTTTTGGTATTGAATCGTATGAGTTCTTTATTTTGGATGTGAACCACTTATGGATAAATTGTTTAAAATATATTCTTTCATACTGTAGATTACCTTTTTGTTCTCTTGGTGGTGTCCTTTGCTGTCCAGAAGCTTTTTAGTTTGGTGTAGCCACTGTACCTCTTTTTTAAGTAGAAACTGTAAATAGTGTAAACCTTTCCGTTGCTTCTGATAGGTTGGGTTTGGAAGGACTAGAGACTGCAGAGGGGTCCAGCACCGAGAGCTCGGATGATGACAGTGATGAAGCACCTAGTACTTCAGGAATGAGGTTCCATGGTCCAAAAACTGGCAGTGACAGTGTTGAGATGGCATTCAAACTTCCCAGTAGTTCTCAGAAGGCAGTAGTATGGAGTACAGACTCTAGATCACTAGAAGAACTACGGACCCCAGAGGCTGACCCTGGGAACAGTATTTCAGAAGATTTGTGTGCTGAGCTGGGAGAGACATCGGCCAGGGACATCGTGGAAAGGAAGATGGCTCTAGAAACACAGAAAACCCAGGAGGAGGAGGAGGCAGAGAGGAAAGAACCCATAGAAAAGGAAGTAGCTGGGACAGGACTGAATAAGGAGCAAGAAACAAAAGAAATGACTAATGGAGAAAGAGCTGCCAAGGTAGCACCTGGAGAAGGTGGGGAAAACACTCCTGTTGCCAAACTGGAGGAAAGCCAATCAGGAAACACAGTAAGTAATTTTGGGGGGTTGATGTCTAGGATCAACTCAGCTTAATCTCATTAAAATCATTAAAATGAAAATCATTTTAATCATTAAAATGAAAATGTGCTTATTACCATCTTCTGCTTAGTGGAAAGACTTATTTAATAATCATAAGTACAGGTAATGGTGAAACTTGCCTTGCCGTCCCCCCTGCCAAAATCCTTCGTTTTTTTTTTTCTTTTTTTTTGTGGGATTTTTTCCCCCACTCTGGAATTTATTTTATTTTGCCACCAGGTGGTGTCCTTGGTTCCATATTACATCAGTTCTAAGATGCATGTTTATCACATTTTAATATCTCTGTATTTGGATGTATATCACATATGGCTTAATTGATATTCTTTCTTAATAGCATATACAGTAATAAGGCATATTATAAATGGCATTTTTTATTTCATGAAATGTTCTCATTTTCCTATCACTAGATCTCTACTCAGTTTTTCTCTCTCATGTGAGATACTGTTTGAATAATTGTTGTTAGCTGTATATAAAGACATTTCTGTAGAAAAGACCAACTCCTTTTAATAATCAAATCTAAGTCCTGTATTTCAGCCTCTGAGAGTTTTTCCTTGAGCATACGTTTCCTTAAGTACTTGATTATACCCTGTTTTCAGTGGAATACCTTCCAGTAGAGACATCATTAATGTTTACTTTTTGATCTAATCATTTGCTTTCTACCATAGATGAAACCTGAACATCTTGGTTTCCTTTGATACACACAAAGCCTGTCATGGTCTGTTTACCCAGTACCTTCCTTATACCAGTAAATAAGCAGCACTGTGGAGGCTGCCCTTTCTGGGGAAGATAGCAGAAAGTGTTATGCTAAGGGCTTTACATAGACCCTCACACTGTGTCTGGAGTTACAAACTTGTAACTTTTATGTTACACTTATATATTAGGGGCTTTATCCTGACTAAAGTCATGGAAAAATGAACAAAGGATCTTTTATGAATAAGTATTGAGTGACTAAATCCTGATTTGACTTTCCATCTTTGAATCTCTTAGCTGTGGAGATTTTGTTCTTGATGTTCTGGCAGTAGCTATTATATTTATTAACAACCATGTGCAGTTCTCCAAAGTGGTGTCCTGGAACTTGGCCATGAATAATGAAGCCAAGGTTTACTCCAGAAATCTAACAGAATGGCTTTTTTTGTTTTAACTAAGATAAACTAGAAAGATATAGTCTGTCCCTAGAGCTGTTTAATATTTTTTTAAAATAACTTACTGTGAGAGAAAATTATTGAATATACATTTTTTAAAAACCCTAGGTGTTGACACTTTTATTCTTTGCAGAACATCCATCCTTAGAAGTATTTAATTTTGTCTTACAGTCTGTGAAGTCTAGTTGGTGGAGAGAAGAGTTGCAAGTCTATTGAATAGCATTTGAATCTGTTGAATTATAAACACGGGAACTCTTATTAAAAGTCTTAACTAGAAAGCATTAAGATTATGGAATTAAAAGATTCACAGGAATGGGAATCTCATTAAAAATTGAGCTTTGGACAACCCCGCGCATTCCACATCCTTGGGACCCTGTGGGGCGGGTGCAGGTCTAGGCTGGGCATGGAGGAGCCTCCCAGACTGGGCAGGTGCAGTGTCCGGGGTCATTTGACTCCACTGTCTCTTGGCCCTGCTGCCTTCATGCCTGGCTGGGGCAGCCATGGAACGCTGGAGCGCGGGGATTGTGTTTGACCAATGGGGCTGAGGCTGTGTCCACTGAGGCTAAGATGACTGCCTTTCCTGATTGGCCTTGACTTTTCCATACATTGTGTGACCCCTGCCCTATGACCCTTTGGCTGACCTTACTGGAAGCCATGATGACAGCAGCCTTTTGCCATCGGACACAGGGTGATGGTGAGGATTCCAAAGGTCAGACAAAACTGGTTAATCTGAACTAGGTGACTGTTACCTTGCATGTTTTGTGGCCAAACCACTACCAAAAAACCTCACACTGTGATATGGTGGAGGTGGTACAGCAGTCGGAGAACCTCAGGCAGAGACAAATATGGACAACCTGTTCATACAGAGTTCTGGCTTATTGTAGAAAATCTTTCTAGTCGTTGTAGTTGGCAAGATTTAAAGGATTTCATGAGACAAGCAGGTGAAGTAATCTATGCGGATGCTCCTCACAAAGAACGCACAAACGAAGGTGTGATTGAATTTCGCTCCTACTCTGACATGAAGCACGCTTTGAATAAACTGGATGGTACAGAAATCAATGCAGAAATATTAGGTTCATTGAAGATAAACCACGAACAAGCCATAGGCAGTCTTACTCTGGAAGCAGATCAAGGTCACGATCTAGAAGAAGGTCCTGAAGTAGGAGTTGCAGGAACAGCCGCAGTAGATCTCGAAGAATCTTTAAAAGTCGCTCCAAGTCTCGGAGCAAAGGTCGATCACGTTCTCAATCAAAAGGCAGGAAGTCTAGATCAAAAAGCAAATCCAAGCCCAAGTCTGATCGGGGCCCCCGCTAGCGCTTTCAAAGCAGATCTAAGGATAAATAGGAGAAATCTAGAAGCAGGTCTCGTTCTCGTTCTCTTTCTCCCAAAGAAAATGGGAAAGGTGATAATAAAGTTAAAATCTAGATCAAGGAGCCAGTTTTGTTCCAATTCACCTGTACCTGCTCCACCCTCAAAGGCTCGTTCTGTGTCCCCTCCACCAAAAAGAGCTTCAAGATCCCATGCTAGATATCGTTCAAAGTCAAGGTCACGGTCCAGATCAAGTTCCAGAGATTAACCTAGACCTCTATATTCTTTGCACACTATTACAGAACAACCTTCCTACTTGCTTAGGCAGTTACTCTTCCATGTTTGTACTTGGCCTCTTCTGCAAGAGGAATCTACTGAAAACGGGCACACAGAAATTTGATTTGTGGCCAAATTTGATGGAAAAAAATGAGGTTCTAAAGGAAATTGTGGCATGAAGTCAAAGACCTTTCCCTTCTTTGTAGAATTACGATAACTTTGATTTTATAGCTTTTGAGCTAAAATAACTTTTGTAAAGATTAAGCTCATTTAGATTTTTTTCAAGTATTTCAGCAGAATCTGCTGCAGGGGTTTTGTTGTTTTGTTTGCTTTTAAATTAACCGTTTCAAGCTTTGAATACTTAAGGCTTTAGAGGGAGAACCCAATTTTCAATTATGTCGGCTTTTTATAAAGCTTGAGTTATGTAAGATTTAAATAAAAGTTTGCTACCAAGGTGACTGCCTTATCGAATAGGTCACTACTAAATTCCTTTAAATAACTATTTGTGGAACAATGTAAATGCTACTTAAAGTGTGAAAGAAGGCAAGCCTCAGACCAGCAATAAATTATTCAATTTGGGAAAAAAAAATTGAGCTTTGATGGGTGCTGCTCTTTTCTGTGGTAATAGTGTAGGGGTAGGCTGGGTGTGCTTTGCTGTTTGAAATTTTACTGGAAAAAGAAAAAATAGTACTAATCTGTCAGGAATCCTGTAACCTCTCTTACTGTTCTGGATGCTTATTCCTAAATATATAGATGAAAAATTAATATTTGTTGAAACTGCATGTGGAATAACATTTATATTATTTTAATTCAGTAGCAGGATATGACTCATTAAATGAAAAGTCCTTGAAAAACAGAATGTGGTTTACGATCTTTATTCAGAGGAAGGAACATGATCTAAATATTTTCTTTTCTTTTCCTTCCCCCTCCCTCAGGATGTTGGTAAGGAAACTATAGATTTACAGGCATTCCACTCTGCTGCAGAAATGGAGCTGCTGGGTTTGGAGAAACTCAAGTGGGAACTGATGGCACTGGGCCTGAAATGTGGGGGCACTCTGCACGAGCGGGCAGCACGGCTCTTCTCTGTCAGAGGACTGGCACAGGGGCAGATAGACCCAGCTTTATTTGCCAAGCCTTTGAAAGGGAAGAAGAAATGAATTTCATCAGAGCCGATTTCCTACTTCTTTATAGTCTAGTACTTATGACCTACATAATATTGACTCGTGGCCATTTTTCCTGTTGACATTAAAGCTGATTTTTTTAATAACCAGTTCTGATTATCCTCTTTCATTATTGCATTCGTAGAATTATTGTGTGAAACCATCTGTACCTGAAGTTCTCTTTGTGGGAAGGTTTTCTTTGTTTGTTTTTTTTGCTATCATTAATGTACAATTACATGAACACCATTATGGTTACTAGACTCCCCCTATTATCAAGTCCCCACCACATACCCCATTACAGTCACTGTCCATCAGCGTACAGGATCACTACTTGTCTTCTCTGTGTTATACTGCCTTCCCCATGTCCCCCTCCCTACATTATACATGGTAATTGTAATGCCCCTTTTCCCCCCTCATCCCTCCCTTCCCACCCATCCTCCCCAATCCCTTTCCCATTGGTAACAGTTAGCCAATTCTTGGGTTCTGTGAGTCTGCTCTGTTTTGTTCTTCAGTTTATTTTCTTTGTTCTTATACTCCACAGATGAGTGAAATCATTTGATACCTGTCTTTCTCTGCCTGGCTTATTTCACTGAGCATAATACCGTCTAGCTCCATCCATGTTGTTGCAAATGGTTTTCTTCTTATGGCTGAATAATAGTCCATAGTGTGTATGTACCACATCTTCTTTATCCATTCATCTACTGATGGACACTTAGGTTGCTTCCATTCCTTGGCTATTGTAAATAATGCTGTGATAAACATAGGGGTGCATATGTCTTTTTCAAACTGGGCTGCCATATTCTTAGGGTAAATTCCTAGGAGTGGAATTCCTGGGTCAAATGGTATTTCTAATTTTAGTTTTTTGAGGAACCTCCATACTGCTGTCCACAATGGTTGAACTATTTTACATTCCCACCAGCAGTGTAGGAGGGTTCCCCTTTCTTCACAACCTCGTCAGCATTTGTTTGTCTTTTCTGTGTTGGCCATCCTAACTGGTATGAGGTGATATCTCACTGTGGTTTTAATTTGCATTTCTCTGATAATTAGGGATGTGGAGCATCTTTTCATGTGTCTGTTGGCCATCTGAATTTCTTCTTCAGAGAAGTGTCTGTTCAGTTCCTCTGCCCATTTTCTAATTGGCTTACTTGCTTTTTTGTGGAGGTGTGTGGGCTCTTTATATAATTTAGATGTAAACCCCTTATCAGATATGTCATTTATGAATATATTCTCCCATACTGTAGGTTGTCTTTTTGTTCTACTGATGGTGTCCTTTGCTGTACAGAAGCTTTTTAGTTTGATAAAGTCCTGCCTGTTCATTTTTGCTTTTGTTTCCCTTGCCTGGGAAGATAGGTTCATGAAGAAGTTGCTCATCATGTTTATGTCCAAGAGATTTTTGCCTTTGTTTTTTCCTAAGAGTTTTATGGTTTCATGACTTACATTCACATCTTTGATCCATTTTGAATTTACTTTTGTGTATGGGGTTAGATGATAATCCAGTTTCATTCTCTTACATGTAGCTGTCCAATTTTGCTGAAGAGGCTGTCATTTGTGGGAAGGTTTTTATAACAAATTTATGTAATATATAAAAGGCTATTCAGATTTTTAGATTTTAGCTCATAAAATTAAGTTGTATTTTCAAAGAATTTATCCATTTGACCCAAGTTACTGGATTTGTGGACATAAAATTATTCATAATAGTTTCTTGTCCTTTTAATGTTTGTAGGAGCTGTAGCGGCAACTTTTTTTTTTCATTCTGGTACTAATAATTTCTGTTTTCTCCTTTTCCTGACTAGTCTAGCTAGGTGTTATCAATTTTGTTCTGATTTTCAAAGAATCAACTTTGGACTTCGTTGATTTTTCATAGCTTTTTCAGTTTCATTGATTTCTGCTCTTTATTATATATTTTCTTAGCTTGGACTTTGCTCTTTTTTCTTTAGTTTCTTAGGGTAAGTCTTAGGTTATAATTTTAGACATTTTTTTCTAATAAAAATTTTTAAATATATGGATTTTTCTTGAAGTGCTATTTTAGCTGCATCTCAGAATCTTTAATATCTTTATTTTCATTATCGTTTGGTTGTACATAGTTCCTAATTTCCTTGTGAGTTCTTTGATCAATTGGATTATCCAAAAATATTTTGTCTTGTTAGCAAATGTTTTTTTTTTTCCCTAAATATCTTCTTATTACTGATTTCTACTTTAATTCCACTGAGGTTAGAGAATATCCTCTTTACAATTTCAATCCTTTTAATTTTCTTAAGACTCATATGATGACCCCCAGTATATGGTCTGTTTTTGTGAATGTTCCTTGTGCACTAGAAAAGAATATGTATTCTGAAATGCTGGGTGAATTTGTTCTGTAATGTCAATTAGGGCAAGTAATTGGTACTATTAAGTTCTTTGGTGTCTTTACAGATTTATTTCTATCAGGTGTTAAGTGTTGAAATCTTTTATTATGATGTGGAATTGTCTGTTTCTCTTTAATTGTGAGTCCTACTTCATATTTTGGAGCTCTGTTACTAGGTTATGTTATAACCTCCTAATGAACTGACCATTTTACCATTATAAAATGTATATGTCTTTGTAATACTTATGTCTCCAAGCCCACTTTATTGAATATGAAATACAGCTACTCCAGCATTCCTGGGTTTACTGTTTACATAGTGTACCTTTTTTCCTCTCATTTACTTTGTGCCTGTTTCTTAAAGTGAGTTTCTTATAGATAGTATATACTTGGATCTTATATTTTTATCTGTTCTGACAGACTCTACATTTTAATAAGAATATTAACATTTAATGTGATTATTGGTACAGTTTTAGTTTATTGTTTACCTATTTGAATTAGTTCATTATTTTATTAGAGTTTTTATTTTAACTGGCTTTTTAACTCTGCTCTCTTTGAATAATTTTTTTAGTGGGTGCTCTAGGAATTAAAATATACATTCTCAATTGTTCAGTCTACCTAGAGTTAATATTGTACTACTTGACATAAAATGTAGAAATCTTACAATTCTATAGGTCCATTTTCCATCCTAGTCTTTTGTGGTCTAAGTTGTCATACATACTAACCTATATTCATTATAAGCCCTATAATATGTTATAATTTCTCTAATTATATATGTCTTTAAGGCAAAAAATAAGTCTTTTATATATATCCACATATTTGCCATTTCTAATGCTCTTCATTCCTACTTGAACATCTGGTATCATTTCCTGTGGCCTAAAGAACTTTCTTTAGCATTTTTTTGTAGCACAGGTCTGCTGGTGACAAATTCTGTATATTTTTTTTCCATCATATGAAGGGTCATGTTCCACAGTCTTCTGGTCTCAATTGTTTCTGATACCAAGTCAGTAGTAATTCAAATGGTTGCTCCCATTTCTAGAATTTGTCTTTTTCTTTAACTTCTCTCAGGTATGCTTAGTTAGGACTTTATTTATCCTGGTTGAATTTGCTAAACTTATATCTGTAACTTTGTGCTGTTAATCAGATTTGGTACCATTTTGGCCATTAATTCTTCCAGATCTTTTTCCTGCTCTGTGTTCTCTCTCTTCTGGAACTTTAATTACAAATATTCAAAGCATCTGTATATAGTCCCTTTAGTCCCAGAGTCTGTGTCCCTCCTACCTCCAGCATTTCTCTCTACTCTTAAGATTATGCAATTTCTGTGATACAGCTTCAAAGTTCACTGATTTTCTGTCAGTTTTCTGTCATTCTGCTAAGCCAGTAGAAGGAATTTATGTGGTTTTGTATTTTTCAGTTCTAGAATTTCTATTTTATAATTCTTTTTTATTAAGGTATCATTGATATACACTCTTAGGAAGGTTTCACGTGAAAAACGTGGTTACTACATTCATCCATGTTATCATGTCCCCCCATACCCCATTGAAGTCACTATCCATCAGTGTAGTAAGATGCCTCAGAGTCACTACTTGTCTTCTCTGTTCTATAGTCTTCCTCGTGACCCCCCACACACCATGTATACTAATCATAATGTGCCTCAGTCCCCTTCTCCCTCCCTCCCCATCCACCCTCCCCTACCCCTTCCCCTTTGGTAACCGCTAGTCCCTTCTTGGAGTCTGAGTTTGCTGCTGTTTTGTTCCTTCATATTTGCTCTGTTGTTATAGTCTACAATTGAGAAATCATTTGACCCTTGTCTTCCTCTGCCTGGCTTATTTCACTGAGCATAATGTCCTCCAGCTCCATCCATGTTGTTGCAAATGGTAGGATTTGTTTTCTTCTTATGGCTGAATAGTATTCCTTTGTGTATATGTACCACATCTTTATCCATTCATCTACTGATGGACACTTAGGTTGCTTCCGTATTTTGGCTATTGTAAATAGTGTTGCAATAAACAAGGGTGCATGTGTCTTTTTGAATCTGAGAACTTGTTTTCTTTGGGTAAATTCCTAGGAGTGGAATTCCCAGGTCAAATGGTATTTCTGTTTTTAGTTTTTTGAGAAAGCTCCATATTGCTTTCTACTATTTGGTTCCACTAAATGGTCGAACAAGTTTACATTCCCACCAGCAGTGTAGAAGGGTTCCCCTTTCTCTGCATCCTTGCCAGCATTTGTTGTTCTTAGTCTTTTCAGTGTTGGCCATCCTAACTGGTGTGAGGTGATATCTCATTGTGGTTTTAATTTGCTAATTCTTTTTTTAAACTTTCTATTTGCTAAAGTTTCCTATTTTCATTTCAAGCATAATTTCCTGGATGTCCTTGAGCATAGTTACAATAGCTGAATCCTCATAAGATAGTTTTAGAATCCTTGTCTGCTCATTCCAACACGTAGATCATCTCAGCGTCAGTCTTTGTTGATTCTGTGGAGAATTGATCTCACTTTCCTGATTCTTGGCATGCCAAATAGTTTTGGATTGTATCTCAGACATGGTGAATAATGTTGAGATTCTGGGTTCTACTTTATGCCTCCAGGAGGTGGTGTTGCTCTCTTTTGTTTGTTTCCTTTTAGCAGGTCTTTAACTTTGCGGGACTTAAACTCTAAGCACTGTCTTTTCCAGGTGGACAGCACCTCAAGTCGCATCAGCTCCTCAGAGTCTGCCCTGTGCTTGTGTGTTTGAGGGGGCAGGGTTTATATATACAGAGCTTTTGACTTACC